GGGGGGGGGGCTGGAGAGATGGCTCACAACCATCTGTCATGGGGTCTGGTGCCCTCTTCTGGCGTGCAGGCATACACACAGACAGAATATTGTCTATACAATAAATAAATATAAAAGAGAATTAGAATATTGTATACATAAATAAATATAAAAAGAATTAGAATATTGTATACATAACAAATAAATATAAAAATAAATATAAAAGAGAATTAGAATATTATATATAATAAATAAATATAAAAAATAATTAGAATACTGTATACACAATAAATAATAAAAATAAAATAAAAGAAGCAATCCATGCCTACAGTCTTTTAGTGAAGCTGTCACAAGGCTCGAGGCAGGTGCTTATGTTCATTCCTGACTTGGGTTCTGGGTTCCATTGCTAGGTTCTGCTCCTCCTGTCAGCAGCACCAGCTGGCCACCAAGAAGCTGGACCTCTGGATGCTGCCCGAAGTCCTCATCATCCACCTGAAGCGCTTTTCCTTTTCCAAATTATCTCGGGAGAAGCTGGACACCCTGGTGCAGTTTCCTATCCGGTCGGGACCCTCGGCTGAAAAGGCTGAGTCCCCCCTGGGTGCTGGGAGCTGAGTCCACCCATACTGACTATCTTCTCATCCACAGGGATCTGGATTTCTCTGAGTTTGTCATCCAACCCAAAAACGACTCGGCTCCGGACCTGTACAAATACGATCTCATCGCGGTTTCCAACCACTATGGTGGCATGCGCGACGGACACTGTATGTGCCACTCTGTGGGCGGGAACGTGTCCTGGGGCGTCTAAACTAGGGCTCGGGAGGGACCCACTGTGTGACTAAAATTATCAAGGCAGGGGGGGTATAAAAGTAGATGTGGAGGGGCTGGAGACGTGACTCAGAGGTTAAGAGCGCTGGCTGCTCTTCCAAAGGTCCTGAGTTCAATTCCCAACAACCACATGATGGCTCACAACCATCTGTACTGAGGTATGGTGCCTTCTTCTGGCCTGCAGGCATATACGTGTATACATAATAAATAAATTAATTAAAAAAAAGTAGATGTGGACACCCCAGAGACCAAGAAAGGTGGTATGGATGAATGACTTTTTTGTTTATTTCAGATACAACATTCGCCTGCAACAAGGACAGCGGCCAGTGGCACTACTTTGATGACAACAGTGTGTCACCTGTCAATGAGAATCAGATTGAGGTACAGCTTCTGTATCCCCACTTGTGCCCCCCGCCCCCCTTTTTTGGTTTTTCTTTCTTTTTTTAAATTTTTTAAAATATTTATTTATTATGTATACAATATTCTGTCTGTGTGTATGCCTGCAGGCCAGAAGAGGGCACCATTACAGATGGTTGTGAGCCACCATGTGGTTGCTGGGAATTGAACTCAGGACCACCACTGAGCCACTTCTCCAGCCCCGGCCCTTTTTGGTTTTTCGAGACAGGGTTTCTCTGTGGTTTTGGAGCCTGTCCTGGAACTAGCTCTTGTAGACCAGGCTGGTCTCGAACTCACAGAGATCTGCCTGCCTCTGCCTCCCAAGTGCTGGGATTAAAGGCGTGAGCCACCACGGCCTGGCCTTGCCCCCTTTTCTTTTTTTAAATGTAATTATTTATTATGTATACAACATTCTGCCTCCATGTGTGCCTGCAGGACAGAGCAAGGCACCAGACCTCAGTACAGATGGTTGTGAGCCACCATGTGGTTACCGGGAGTCAAACTCAGGACCTCGGGAAGAGCAGCCAGTGCTCTAACCGCTGAGCCATCTCTCCAACCCCCTCGACCCCTTTTCTCTTACTCCCTTCTGACATCTAAACTGACCCATGTCCTCTTCCCACAGTCCAAGGCGGCCTATGTCTTGTTCTACCAACGCCAGGATGTGGCTCGCCGCCAGTCCCGGACCGTCTCCTCTGGCATCCCGACGTCGGTCTCGGGTTTGACACCCAACCCTGAAGTCATGGATGTTAACTAAGGGGTCCTGGAACAACCACAGATAAGGAAGTCCCTTCCATAGTCTACCCCTCCTCTTACCTGTGTTCATCACCCCCCAAGCATTGCAGGCTTAGTCCGTGGCTACTGTTTTCTTGTCCCGCTGTCAGCACTGACTTTCCTCTTTAGTCTTATTTATTTTACCCCTCCCCATCTTTTCCTCACCCCAAAGTGTTCAAACCGTATTAAAGGAAAAAAAAAAAGCAAGGAATAAATTTCCGCGGCTAACAAACAACAACGCGCGCCGGCGCGGACCGGTTTTCCCCGCTTCCCCTGTGTACAGCACTGACTTTTCCTCTTTAATCTTATTTATGTGACCCCTTCCCCTCTTTTCCTCACCCCAAAGTGTTCTTAGTGGCTGAGAATGGGGGTTCACATGGACACAGAGTGTATTTTCTTATCGATATCGTATACCTTCTGCTATGTGTTAAATAGACATAAAAAGCTCCAGTCGGTCCCATGCTTAGCGGTGTCATTTTTTCTTCTTCCCTACGTAATTACCACATGCTAGTCATAGGTCTTGGTTCTGTGTACTTATTGAAGATCAGGTGTGGTGTGTGGTTGATGGTGTTTTTGAGTGGGTACAGAAGTAAAGGAACGGCTTTGGTTCTTTCAGCTTATCGGTGTATCTGTATATTTGTCTAGATTTTTTTAAATATTTATTTATTGTTGAAATAGGAGCAGCGGGGCTGCGTCCCCAGCATCCCGGCCGCCTGCTAGCTCATGCCCGAAATAACAACACACAAACTGTATTCATTTACGAACTGCTTGGCCCATGAACTCTAGCCCTTACAGGCTAATTCTCTCACCTGGACTAGCCCATTTCTAATGTGTGTAAGCACCCCAAGGTGCGCTTACGGGAAGATTCTAGCCTCTGTCCATCCTGGATCAGAGCTGCCTGGGAGAGCTGAGCATGGCGTCTCTGCTCGAGAGAGCAGAGCTGTCCGGTCCCTCTGGAAGCAGAGCAGAGTCTGACCTCACTTCCTCTTCCGCCCAGCATCCTATTCTGTTTATTCCTCCCACCTATGTTCTAAGCTATGAGGCCAAGCAGTTGGTTTATTATAATTAGCCAATTACCTTCCTCCATCAATTTATTTATTTATTATGTATACAATATTCTAATTCTTTTTTATATTTATTTATTATGTATACAATATTCTAATTCTCTTTTATATTTATTTATTATATATACAGTATTCTAATTCTCTTTTATATTTATTTATTTATTTTAGATTCATTTATTTATTTTAAATATTTATTTTAGTTTTATTTATTTATTTATTATGTATACAATATTCTGTCTGTGTGTATGCCTGAAGGCCAGAAGAGGGCACCAGACCCCATTACAGATGGTTGTGAGCCACCATGTGGTTGCTGGGACTCAAACTCGGGACCTTTGGAAGAGCAGGCAATGCTCTTAACCACTGAGCCATCTCTCCAGCCCTCTATTTGTCTAGATTTTTAAGCTGAAGATCTTTTGAGGGATCCGAGATACTGAGGATACGAAGTGACAGGCATAGCTGCAGGCAGACAACATTGGGAACTTAAAGATACTCACCCGACCACCACTCAGGTCCAAAAAAGGAAAGGAAATTAACGTAATTTCCAGCCCCTCTCCTCTACCTACAGTGGTGGGGATTGAAAGCCTAGGGGTGGGCGAGGGAGTGTTGAAACCATCTCATATACCCCAGGTGCTGCACTAAATTCTTCCTGGTGCTGTGCTGAATCACCCAGGTGCTGGGTGCTGCGCTGCGTTCCCATCCCAGGTGCTGTGCTCAATCTTCCTGCCCCGTGGGTGTTGCGCTGAGTCCCCGCCAGGTGCTACACTAAGTCTTCCTGACTTGTGGGTGCTATGCTGAGTCCTCTTTGGTGATGGGTGCTGCGCTGAGTCCTCTCTCATTATGTAGCTAAGGATGATTTTGAACTGTTCTTCCGAGAGAGGGACATCGGGATTAACACGCAACACAACTTCAGGTTCTGCAGACAGGAGAGGCCAAACCAGCAAAAGCAGGAAGCTCATCACCATAACTCAATGGCTTAGGGGTAAACATCCTTAGAAACATTGCTGAAAACAGATTGTTCCTGTTTTTGTTCCTGTTTTCAACCATCCGCAAGAGTGCAAAACAGGGGGCTGGAGAGATGGCTCAGAGGTTAAGAGTTCGAGTCCCAGCAACCACATGGTGGCTCACAACCATCTGTAATGAGATCTGGTGCCCTCTTCTGGTTTGCAGACATGCACACAGACAGAATATTGTATACATAATAAATAAAATAAATATATAAAAAAAGAAAAAATCATTTAAAAAAATTTCCCTATCTTCCTCCCCCTGGAATATTTTGTTAGCCGTGGAGCGGGAAGGAATTCCAGCACAAATCAACTTCTTCAGGCTTTTCTCCCTTCCCAGACACAAACCTGCAGTTTTCTAGGAATCCCGCCTGAGGCCCCACTCACTGGGAAAGGCTGCAGACAGCAATCTAGTACTTTTTCCTTTATCAGATTGTAGTTCCACCTGGGGCATCTCTGGAGCCACCTCGCACACAGACCTCTCTCATCGAAGGAGGTGGGGTGTTTTGGGAGATGGCTCAGTGGATAAGTGTGTTATCTGTTTGAGCCCAAGGACCCAGTTTCGATGTCTGGAATTTGAGAAATTCGTGTAAAAAGCTGGAGAAGGCAGAGTGCGTCTACAGCCCCAACCTCTAGGCAAAATGGAAACGAAAGTGTGACCTGGAAGCTGCTGGGCTCTCTAGCCTGGAGTACGTCTCCAGCATGGTAGCAGAAACAAAGATAGACCTTTAAGGAGTTCAGGATAGAGACTGGATATTAAACGCTTTGCAGGGGGCTGGAGAGATGGCTCAGAGGTTAGGAGCACTGCCTGCTCTTCCCAAGGTCCTGAGTTCAATTCCCAGCAACCACATGGTGGCTCACAACCATCTGTAATGAGGTCTGGTGCCCTCTTCTAGCCTGCAGGCGTACACACAGACAGAATATTGTATACATAATAAATATTAAAAAAATATTATCCTCTTGAGCGTTTGAAACCATCTTGGCCTACCTAGTCAGATTCAGGCTAGCCTAAGCTATATAGCGTAAAGTTGTCTCAAAAAGGATGCTGGTATAGGGGTGCATACCTGTAATTCGCCACTTGGAAGGCCAAAGCAGGAGGATGACACAAATTAAAGATTAGTCCAGGCCAACTAAATCTGCAAAGTGAACCCTGTCTCGACAAAGCCCAAGACAATGCAAAGACAAATATCAAAGTCTATTGTGAAATATTATTTTAACTGGGCAAATATGGCGCTGTAGGAAATCCTACAGCCAGTAGCCTTTGAGTTACCCCCTTCCCTGGGGCCTGGCCTCTTATACTATTTATGCCAATGTAAAGCCTGCGTCTGGCCCTCTTTTCCTCTGTTGGAAGGGAGAACAGGAACTGAATCCCGCAGCCGTGAAGGAACAAGAGGCTCCCTTCCTCCAACAATGTTACATTTGTTCATGTTGCAGAGTGTTACTCTAACTGGGCAAAGCTGTGCTACATTTGTTTACTTTTTTTTTTTATTTATTAGAAGACACCATAGGACCTGCGGGTCCCAGATCAGAAGCAGACAGAGGGGAATAGAGGTCCTGAGAAAACACCACAGGTCCTGCAGGTCCCTGAGCAGCAGGCAGTGGGTACCATGACAACACCACAGATCCTGCGGGTCCCTGAGCAGCCTGCAGCAGGCAATGGGTCCCAAGACGACACCACTGGCCTTGCGGGTTTCTGAGCAGTGGCAGGCAGATGGCAGTGAGTCCCGGACCAATAGGAAAGGTCACGAGGGTTTCTGAGCAGCAGCAGGCTGGGGGCAGTGTGTTCTGCGATGACAACACAGGTCCTCCAGGTGCCTGCGGGTCCCTCTGCAGCTGCATCAGGGGGCAGTGATTCCAGAGACAACACCACAGGTCCTGCAGGACTTTGGGTAGTGGCAGGCAGGGTGCCCGAGACGACACCACGGGACTTGTGGGTCCCAGAACAGCGGCAGGCAGGAGGCAGGGGGTTCAAGACTCAGGGACCCGCAGTACTTGGAGGATATGTGGCATCGTCTGTGGACACACTGCCCTCTGCAGTCTGCTCAGGGACTCGCAAGACATGTGGTGTAGATTCAGGACCCCCTGTCTCCTCCCTGCTGCTACTCATGGAAGCGCAAAACCTGTGATGTCATCTAAATCCCACCTGCCCCCTTCCTGCTCAGGAAGCTGCAGGACCTGTGGAGTTGAACAGGATCCACTGGCCCCTGCCTATCGCTGCTCAGGGACCTGCAGGACCTGTGCTGTTGTCTAAGAATCCCCTGTCTGCCCCTGTTCTGGGAACAGCAGGACCTGTGCTGTAGTCTAGGAACCCACTGCACCCTGCAGGCTACTCAGGGACCCGCTGGTCCTGTGGGATTGTCTTGGGACTCCTGCCCACTGCAGACTTCTAAAGAACCTGCAGGACCTGTGTTTTTTGTCAGGACTCACTTCCTGCTGCGTGTTTTTCATGACACACTGCCTTCTGCCTTCCTCTGCTCAGGTACCTGCAGGACATGTGGTGTCGTCTAGGGACCTACTGACCCCGGCCTGCTGCTTCTCAGGGACCCTCAGGACCTGGGTTGTCACCTTGGGACCCATTGTTCCCTGCCTGCCACTGGTCAGGGACCCTCAGGACCTGTGTTGTGTCTAGGACACGCTGTCCCATGCCGGCCACTGTTCAGGGACCCTCAGGACTTATCATGTCATTTCTGGATCCTCTGGCCCCTGCTCTGGGACCTGAAATGCCTGTGGTGTTGTCTTGGGACCCCGTGCAGTCTGCAGGCTTCTAAGGGACCCACAGGACCACTGTTGTCCTCTTGAAACCTATTGGCCCCTGCCTGCCTCTGCTCGGGGAACCACAGGCCCTGTGGTGTCATCTCAGGATTCCCTGCCCCCTGTAGGCTACTCAGAGACCCCTTAGGACCTATGCTGTCTCCTCTGGAAACCCTGTCAGGCAAAGCTCAGGGATCCGAAGTCCTGTGCTATTGTCTCAGGTCCCACTACCCCCTGCCTGCCACTGCTCAGGGACCCGCAGAAACTGTGTTGTTGTCTCTGGAGCCACTGTCCACAGCAGGCTGACTTGCGGGACCTCTGGTGTTGTCTCGGGACACACTACCCCTCCCTGGCACAGCTTAGGGACCCGCAGTACCTGTCTGATGTTTCTGGTACCCTGCTGCCTGCTCAGGGACCTGCAGGACCTGAGGTTTTGTCTTGGGACCCATAGCCTGTGACTTGTCAGGGAACAGCAGGACCTGTGGTGTTGTCCTGAACCCCTCTGCCCCCTGCCTGCTGCTGCTCAGGGACCTGCAGACCTTTGGTGTCATCTCGGTACCCTCTGCCTGGCTCATCTCAGGGACCCGAAGGACCTGTAGTGTTGTATCAGGACCCACTGCCCCCTGCCTGCTGCTGCTCAAGCATC